GCGCGTGACCACTGGGCCCGTCGCGGCTTCTGACGGCGGCCGGGCCGGCCACAGCTCGCTCGTCCGTCCAGTCGGGTTGCGTCCAGGGGTCGACTCTTAGGAACAAGGGTGCCTGCACTCTGTCCCACAAGCCTCTTAGACCTAAGAGTTCACTGTCTCGTCGCTCCTGGCCAGTGCCCAGGGCCGGCGGAGACGTGTGGCAGGGCCTGTGCGACCTGCCCACCGCTGAGGATTCTGAACTGGCCGTACCGTGTCCGGCGCCACCGTGGCACGTGAGGCTCCGCTGGCTCCGCATCCCGACCTGCGAGGTAATCCGGCCGGTCCGGTGGGGGCGCGGCACGCAGCTCGCATCCCCGAGGGGCGTCCAGCTGGCCTGCAGAGCCGCGCTCAGTCTCCAGGGGGTCCCTAGTGTCACCGCCTCAGCAGCCAGAGGACAGGAGCCCTTGTCTGGGGAGGGTGCCACCTTCTAGCGGCCAACCACACCCCTGGTGTCGCCACCACCGTCTCCTGAGCAAGCGGCTGCGGGAGCAGCGGACGGGGACCCTGGGCCAGAGACGGCTCCGAGGGTCTCGGCCAGTGCCCTGCGCGGCCAGTGGTCCTCTGACGCTTGCCTCCCACGTGCCTTCAAAATCATAGACGGAAAAATGTCCCTTCCTGCATATCCTTAGCATAAAAAACGCCCTACGGAGCCCACATGCCAGGTGCAATAATAAAAGTGAATGTTTGATTTTTCCGTGAAAAGCAAGGACTCTCAGAATGGGTGACCAATGCTGCAGGCTGCCCACGAACGTGACAGTGCGTCTCGAAAGGCTGCAAGCGAGAGGCGACACTCGCAGAAGCCGAGGGCCCAGGTGGGGCTCGCGCCGAAGCCTGGCCGGGCCGAGCTCGCGGTGGGCCTGGCGGGGGCCCGGCACCGCAGCACAGCAGCAGGTGGTGTCAACTGAACAGCCCAGGCTCGGGCTGCCCCCCGCGGTGGGTCACAGGGCTGAGCGGAGTGCACCCTGCACCGCCCCAGGTCCCAGCGCAGGCAGACGGGTCCTGGGTGCTTCCGGAACGAGCAGGAGGGGCAGGCCTGCTCGGGGGCGGGGGGAGGGTGCCGAGGCCCTTCCCGAGGGCTCCCTGGGACGCACGGGCCCCCCGGGGGAGAGATCGCCTGCCCCTCGCAGGTCCGGGTTGGGAGGAGGGGGTGCCACTGCTTTGAGGACCTTGGAAGGTTCAGGCATCAGGGGCAGAGGGGTCTTCAAAACGTATTTTAAAGGTTGGGTTCGGCAGAGTGAGGGGACCCATATCCTTCATGTGGCTGCGGGGAGGGGGAGGCTGGGCGGGACAGCTGGAGGGGTGAGCCAGCTGGTTCCAGTTAGGGGTGAGTCAGCTGGTCGGCGCCACAGCCCCTTCTTAAAGGGGACACACTTGGTTCTGCTTCTCACCGTCCTTCGGGGACAGGTCCCTGGGGCAGCCACCCCCACGGGCAGGACCGGCCGAGGAGGGAGCCTGGGCCCTGGCTGTCCTGCCCGAAGCTGCCCTCCCCTTGCCAGCCCTGTGGCCTCCTGCATGGGCACGTCCAGGGGACCCTGGCCAGAGAGGGTTGTGGTGTCTGCCCCAGGGAGGGCCGAGCCCACCATGGCCCCTCAGGCCACACTCCGGTGTCACGAACCAGTTGAGGAAGCGGAGGCGGAGGGCAGGCTGCCGGCTCGAGGTGGCACAGCTGTGGGCCACAGGGAAGGAGCCGGTGGGGGCCACCGCTCCACGCTGTGGGGACCCCCAGGCTGGGGTTCGCAGGCCCGGTGGCCACGTGTCCGGGGCCCTCGGATGACGGCCCAGCCACCGAAACTGACCCAGATATCAGCTGTCTGGTTCCTAGCGCATCTGCATGTGACAGGAATCCAGGGGCTGAGATGAGGTGTCCCCGCAAACCCCTAGGGAGCGTGCGCCTGACACCCACTAATTCTACACTGGGTGCTGCTCTCCACAGGAGTCAGAGAAGGTCTGACGTCGTCCCCACTGCTGGCTTTCTCGTGGCCATGTTTGCGAGGCATTTGAGAGAGGGTTGTCCCTTCCCTCGCCCCCACCCCGAGGACACCTGCCAGGTCCCCTCCTGGCCAGGAGCACAGGGAGGCCCTGCCACCCACCCCTCCCGGCCCTGACACTGTGGGTGTCCCGCCCGCAGACCTGCCCCTCCTCCCTGCTGGCGCCAGCCACCCAGCTTCTCCCTCCGCCACCCCCTGAGGCAGGGGCCCACCCCACACGTGGGGACTCTGCTCACCGCTGCCTCTGGGATCCAAGCCCCAACCTCCCTGGCCGGTGTCCTCCCCCGAGGCCTCCTGGGCCCTGACCCCCAGAGCTCTGCGGGGTTTTTGTTGCCAGAATGTGGCCCTTTGGGGGTTTCTCTTGTTGGACCTGGCTAGCTAGTCCTCGCTGCCCCCAGGGTGGGGGCCCCCCAGCTGCTCCCCGTCTATAGACAGTCTTCATGTCACCGACACTCCCTCCCAGACCCAGGAGAGGGGTGTCGACGGACAGTGCCCGGCCAAGGTGAGCACCTCGCCTGGCGGGCACCGGGTGGGAGGCGGGTGTCCCAGCGGACGCACTGCCTCCCGAGCCCTGCTGATGGCGGGACCGGGGCACGGCGGGAT